ACCTATCGAGCTACCAGGTTGTTTTCTAAAGAAACTACAGTGAGAGAAAAGTTTTTGGTACTTGTGATTATAATAGTATGGTAAAGTATTCATGACTAGGAGCTCCATTTTTATGATTATTATTGCTATAATATTATAATAATTGCATTTATAGTTCTATATACTCAAAAGAATGTATACTTGTTGTATTGAAAATAATCATAATTTTGATATATAGAATTATAGTATGTAAATATAAATTTATATATATATATATATGTGAGTGTGTGTGTGTGTATATATACATATGTAATTATTATTGTAATCTAAAAAAAGAGTCCCATTCGTTTCATATATTAAGAGAAAAGTTTTTGATATTTGTGAGTACAATTTCGTGAAATAATAAGAGTTCATTTTTATAATTATATTATTGTTGCAATAATAATTATAAAAATGAGTTTATATTAATAAACTTATTATAATTTCCCTTAATTATAATTTCACGAAATTGTACTCACAAATATCAAAAACTTTTCTCTTAATGTATGAAACGAATGGGATTCTTTTTTTTTATATTGTCACGAAATTATACATATAAGTCCAAAAACTTTTTTTTCAATATATAAAATGAATGGGACTCTTTTAATGGTGGAGTATACTGTAATATGAAAAAGAGTTGGCTTCATGTCGCGAATTCGCTTGAGAACTTTTTATTCTTCTTGACCTGTAGCTTTAAGTATTGTTACATCAGCAAATAGGGAGAAAGAAAGAGAGAGAGAGAGAGAGAGAGAGAGAGAGAGAGAGAGATTCAAGAACGTCATAAACTGGATTAAAATCTGTGTCGATGGCTCGTGATACAATTGCTTAGAGACGACTTTTCAGACATTCTCTGTACAACAGATCACAAACACTCGATTCAACGCTGTTGAATTAAATGCCATCGTAAAAAATGACCTTCGCACGAAAAGAAGCTTACCTCTCCTCTTTCTTTTCTTTTCTTTTTATTTTCGTCATTCTACCTTGGCTGCGTTATTATCCGTATACCGTAATTTAAAAAAGAATGTTTGATTTCTGAATAGAGATAGCATCGCAAAATAAGTCATTTTCAATTTAAACCGCAACTCACAAGAGTCAGAAGAGTTCTTTAGACAGCTGTAAAAAATTTGAGAGAAAGATTTGTATAAAAATCCAGTTAACCCTTCGGAGTTAACGTCAAAATATATAATACAATTACTAACGTTTGTGAGATCCTTTTGATTTGCTGACTAAAAGACACTAATTGATTTCAAAGAATCAGAAACGAGTTATATATAAAAAAAAATGAATACTGAAAATGAATAAGTTCATTTTAATAAGAATAATCCAAATTTGTGCACATACGTAACATAAAGAATACATTTAAATGAATAGACTCAGCATCAGCTTCAGTAAATTTAAGGCCGTAATTCACATTTTATTTTTATTGATAAATGCACACTTGGCATTTGCTTACATACATTGTTAAAAATTTCATATACTGAAATTTAATATATTTTTAAATTACACAATTTGAACTTAATTTCATGACATTACATTATAAATTTAATGTATTTATAACTGAAAAATATATATTTGTAAACATGTACATGAAATTTAATTATTTTTCATAAATTTAATGTACACGTTCATTACATTTAATAACTGCTGTAATTTAATTTTCAGTTAAATCATTCATTACTTTTAATTTCGTTCATAACTATGATACTTTACATCATCATTTACATGTAAAGGAAGCTCGTAATTATATTTCTACACAGAAAAAAAACACAACTGAAAACTGATTCAACAAATCTACAAACAGTCGTAGATAATCAACTTTTTAAATGTTAAAGTAGCAAAATTGACAGCTGAATAACATTAGCGGTTTGTCAAACCATCAAATCTTCTTATAGAGATGTTGGATTTGCGCAATAAGTTACAAGTTTGCTGTACCACCCAAATTAATTTTTTTTTCTGTGTAACAGTGTATATTACAGAATCTTAGAAATAAATGTGTACATTTAATTAATAAAAGTGAGATCTCAATAGAGATTTAAAAATCGAAGATAAAGTGCTTGAATTGAATTGGGAGAAATATTTTTGTCACGTTTGAACAAAGAGATAACTTGTAGACCATGAAATTCTTTATTTTTATTCTCGAGACGAACTAGTCGCATATTTTAATGTTCCGCAACAGTACGATATTTACATTCGTGCAAGAGAAAAACTACGCGGAAGCGCATACCACTGCACTGAAAAATAATTCCACTCGCGATCGCCCACGCCGCGGTTGGTCGGCGTGGTAATTATACTTACGATCTAGTTCCGGCATGTCGGCGACCTTCCTTCTCTGTTTGATCACAGAGGAATCTCACGATGGAGTCACATTGACGTCAAGGTGGAAAAACGAGCGTGTCTCGTCCTCGTGGATAAATTTAGCCCTTTAACGCGCGATTTTAGGGACGTCAATCCCTCTGACCTTTCCGAATATACGACGAGTGTGCCGCGGAATTTCTCTGGACTGACAGAAGTGAAAAATTGGGATAAACGCGTCAAGAGAAGCTTCTCTACATAAGAAAAAGCTCACGAGCTTTTGAAAGAACAATCGATGGCATTTCCAGCCAATTGTTTCAATCATCCTATACTCAGAGAAAAGGATACAATAGAAAAAAATTAGATTGGGTGGATCAACAAAGTTAGGACACTTGCTGTGCGAGTTAACATCTATAACTAAGAAGATTTGATGGTTCAACAAAGAAATTATGTCTATAAGCAATTAGTATGCTAATTCAGCTAATTCTTTGCTATTATACAATGAAAATTGCTAATATAAAAAACTTCCTTCATTACAGTAAAAAGTACGCGCCATTTTAATTAGCATATTTTGTTAAAATTTTTTGATCTACAATTTATATTTGATTGATTTAGAAAGTTATCTTTGCAGTATTAATAAACTTATATACTATTATAACAAATATGATTATAATTTATTGCAATTTATCTACAATTGTGCTAATTTAACGTTTTAAAAAATTACTGGCTGTAAATTTGTCGAATCAATGAGGTTTTTAGTTGTTTTAACAAATCTTTTTTTCCATGTTTATAAAAGCAATTATAAAGATGATAATTATACAGATTTTATATGTAAAATTAATATACACACATAATTTAATAAACTATTCTGTAGTTATTGCAATTGTAAAATAATGCAATTCAATTATATACATTAATTTATTCGTGTACATTAATTCTGCGTATAAAACTTATATAAAGTTGCTATCGTTGTAACTGTTTTTCTTTGAATTGGATTAAACGCAACTCGCAAATCCCTCGCGGCCTCCGTTTTTTTTTTCAATAAAATAAAACGTAATGTTCTAACAACGATGATAACAAGTATGATAACGTTTTTAAAACGAACGAAAAAATCGTTCAGGTGTATATATCAAAATAGGTCACCCGCAGCTAAATGCACAATCGAGCGAGATGTTGAAACCCAGCGCGCTGTCCGAGCAGCGGCGTAATGAAGATGAAGAGGAGAAAATCGCAATAACGTAACAAAGAATTTCATTTGAAAAATCGCGACGCAATCGCACGTTCTTGTCGCGAGTCTACCGACACGCGACAGAAGCCAACCAATTCGGTCGCGTGAGATCCAAGGGGGGATACGTTGTCACCGTTCGAAATTAATTCGATCGGCGTCGATTGACTCGAGTTATTCGTTGTGGCACGTCGCGATATGGGTTGGACGGACGGACATTGTTACGTGACACACAAGGCCGAGGTGGAAGCTGCGCTAGATGGGAAAATGAAATGAGGGAGAAAAGAGACGTGACGGGCTGCGTTACGAGATGAATGAATAGTCGCGCATTCGCGGCGCGCGGCTAAACGGCGACTTCACCGGGATATCTGATACATCCGTGCACGATTTTTCAATCGAAAAACGATACTCGCGCTCGCGGAAGCATTGTAAAAACAAAACACACCCATTTGCATTTACGCGCGTGGAATTATGTGTGATGTAATTACTTGCATGTATAACTAAAGTAGCGCGTTTCTTTTTTTTTTTTGCGACAAAGAAAAAACGCAGAAGATCATATCGCTGAATACGAGAAGATATCTAATAGGTGTATCTTTTCTTTAACACTGGCATGAATTTTTGTCAGAATCAGTTTCCTGATCACAAATCTCGTCACACTATTCTTTTGTGCTTAACTCTTGGTATATAATCTAGAATTTTAACCTAATGTTTTTTCAAAATATTTGTGGATGGTCAAAATATTTGTATGACTCGTATGCACGAAAGACACACACACGACGTGGAGATAATAAATATCATTTCTACGCCGCATATATAAATGTACTCATCGTCGCATGAATTTGTAAAATGTTTTTATAACATAATATAATTTTAAAGTAAATTATTCATATTAGAATTTTCCACTAAAACATGTTTTTTAAGTGAAAATTTTTAGCTAAATTAATAGGCTTCCTCAAAATTATACTATAATCAATGCAAAATGTTCTTGATTCGTATATATAAATGGTGTATTGAAAAAAATTTACTAAATCTTAATACATATTTCTTTGAATAATACTATAGTAAAAGTAAACATTTACTTGCTTATAGTAAATAAATATTTATACAATAAAAGTGATAATTAAATCAAATTAATAGTTTTTGTATCAGATAAATATATGTTTACATTTAGTGAATATTTACTTAGTATTATTTCAACAAATATTTATTAAAATTTTTCAGTGTAATAAATAGAAAATATATGTGTATTTAAATTGATACATGCGGTGTCCTGGAACCACATAGGTTTCCAATTAAATTAAATATACACAGGAGAGTCAAAATGTTAATATCAATAAAATCAATTTTTCTCTAAGAATCTAAATTGGGATTGAAATCCACAAGATTTGCGTAATTCATACGATATTCGCTCTTAAATATACAATCTGACCTTATTAATTTTGTGCGCGGTTTTTAATGCATCCAGGATTAGCGCGTCGTAAAATAATTTCATACGAGCGTGTACTAACTCGTCACATCGGATCGATCATTTTAATACACCTCCGTTCTCACTTGTTCCGAGAAACTGATACACGATGAAAACGATTTGACTGTAATGTATGTGTCCATGTATGTGCCAGCCCGGAGGGCATCGATTATCATTCGTTAGTGGCAGAAAGAAGAAGGTTACAGTTCGCGAGTGTGTCCAGTGCGATTCTCACAGTATTCTTCTCTTTCTTATCAAGAAGAAGACGCGACAAGTGCATGTGAGGAACGGAAGAAGCGCGAGTGAAATGACATGGTCCAGAGACGTTAATTTCAGAATTTTTCTTTTTCTCATTAACATGATACGCGACAAGTGCTAGAAACAGAGATATAGCGCGAGTGAAATGACGTGGTCCAGAAACGTTAATTTCAGAAATCCAGCGCCGGAGATGTCGCGATACGAGCCTCGCGTGCTCGATCTCTCGCCGCACGCGTACACACGCGCACGCACGCACGCGTGAGCAATTCAATTAAGGAAGCGCAGACGTGCTCGCGTGCGCTCGAGCCTGATCGCGCAGCGAGATAATTTACGTTGTACTCCTCCCTGTGGGATGAATGAACGTGACCCACGCATTTTTTCCTCCCGCTCAGGTCACGACGCAGAGAGAAGAAGAAGAAGGAAGAAGAGGGGCAGAGAGAGAGAAGGCGAGCGAAAGACTAAAGAGACGAGTGTGGGGCGTGTTTAAGAATTGTACGGACTTTAAAGCGTCCGATAAGACCCGTCCGTCGTGATATCGAGCACCGAAGGGATCCCGAAAATTCGCGCCCGCGATCTCTTCTTATCTCTCACGACGAGGAATCAAATCCCTGACTGCCAGACGTCGTTCGCTTTATAGCGCATGTTGCACACGCGAACGATGTGATCACTCATCGAGATAATTAAGAACAAGGAAAACAACGACGTGTTGCGCACTGATCGTCCGCAACGATCGCCAGCGCATCGTGATAATCCTCCAGTGTCTTTTCTACCGTAACGTAAAAATAAAAGTGTGGTATACAACACACAGATTTCCGGTCTTACTCGCGGCTTTAATTACGCGCGAGGATTGAGCGTATCGGCGCGTATCGGTCCCCGATTTCCCGCGCGGAAGCGTCTCGCGATTTTTCACGAGATAGTAAAATCGCTACAGTCCAGAGAGAGGGGAGAAGAAGGAACGAGGAGGTGAGAAGAGATGAGCCGAGGGCATTTGCTCAGCGTGACACACGCCAGCGGTCTCTCCCCCTCGCGATACGGATAGATGCGACGTGGGAGGATCGTTATCGAATGGGTAATAAGGTCGAGAGCAATTGAACTCTTAGTGCGGCGTCGGTGGATTTTGTCGTTGATCCAGAAGAACAGACGACGTCGCCTTCCGTCGAGTATGGAGAAGAAAAGTGGAGGAGAGGCACGGCCGAAGATCGAGATCGTACGGGTCTCGTCCATCGAACGTAGCCACTTCCGACCGCTGGACGGGGTGCAGCTACGAGCGACTTACAGTCATGTGCGAGTGGGTACTTACTGCCCGGAACCGGAAACGACTGGCGGACCGACCGAGAACAAGCCGCTCGTGCCGATCGAACAGACGCGACGCTTCAAGAAGTGAGTGTCGTTTCGTCACTTCTCCTCGATCAATATTAAGGCCGAAGCACAGATTTTTGCGTAATATATAATACATAAAGTATTATACAAAAATCAATCCTCACAGAAAAAAATGTTTGATTGAATTAATTAAAATTCTGATGGAAAATGAATGATCCAGAATATTAGTTGAGTCTACAAGATTTTTGTACTAAATCTTGTTAATTAAAATTCTAGTTGAAATAACCATTCAGTTATAGATTTATAGATTTAACCAGAAATCTAGTAGACTTAACTAGAATTCTGGATCGTTCATTTTCATCAAAATTCCAGTTAATTCAACCAAACATTTTTTTACGTGCTCTAATTAGTCTTTTATTTCATGGAAAGAAAGGAAATAAAGCTTTGATTCATTTTCTTATGTATTGTTACGCGTTAGACAAACGCAAACACGATAGGTGTAATAAACCTTAAGTCTTAAGGGATTGACCAATTAATTATTCTTCTCACATTCGATTGTGATTGGTTAATTTCTTACGGCTTAAGGCTTAAAACTTAGATAACGGCTTATTATAGAAAGCTCATTATGCAAGACTCTAAGCTCCCTTACTTTCATCATGAAAAAACGCGAAATATTTTGTTATCGCGATAGGGCGTAATCAGCTTTACGAAGATAACAACTGACTAGCCGATCGATAATGCCATTTTTTTTATCTTGTGTCTGGACATTATAACTTATTAGATACGAGATATCTAATAAGTTGTAAATAGATTTTTTAATTCGTTTTTAACGTTGCATGAAATAGAACTTGAAAATAGAATTTGAAAAATACTACATCTTTACAGAAATTTGGGACCAGTATCAAGACTGCTGAGACGTCGTCATAACGCGACATGCCTTGCCACCAAATCCTGTGATAACATTTATAACGTGAATAGGAATAGTAATTCTCTGGACTGGAGAGTCAACCAGAACGCCAACGAACAAGGTAATTCATTAACTGTGACTCATAACATAGTTAACGAACTGGAGAACTCAGGAGTCAGTCATTCAATTACGGCTTGTTCACTTGTTTTAAATTTTATTTTTTTTCTTGATAATTGCACATCTAAATTTCTCTCTTATATAATTTATATATATTAAGCCCATTAAAACTTTTTTTATTTAAAAAGATAATGCTACTACAATATAGCTAAGAAAAAAGTTTAAATATTTTGAGTCATTAAAATTTGCAATATTTTAAAATGCAATGTTGGTATAATAATTGATTATAGAAAAATAAAATCTTCTTTTAAAGTATGTTTTTTTCTTCTTTATATTTCATCTTTTATAAACAAAAACTTATCATTTCAATTCATAAAATTGAATTCGATTTTCATCCTCCATACAAAGGAGAAATGTTTAAGTTCAGTTTAATTAATAGATAGATTAATTAAATTAGTTAAACGAGTAAAATACTTTCGTAATTTCTGAGGGAAATGTGGATGCGACTTGTGGAAATGTAATTGTAAAGCTTCGACCTGTAATTTTAAAGCTTCGATTTGTCATTTTTCGTTCTTTTCCCTTCCAGATCTACAAGCTAGACAAAGCAGCAGCCTAGACTGGAGAGTAGGAAGATCCGTCACTTTCAGCTCCAACCAACTCCACTGGGGAAATACGACGCGAAGCGCCGAACAGCTTTCCAGAAGCACGCCTCTCACTTCCGATCATCTTCAGACACCGAGCACGAGGTATGCTAATCCACGTCGATGCACCTCGCGTGCAAACCCGTTTCATGCACGCAATGAAAGCAAATAATTTATGACAAGCTCTCCCTCTGAGAGCGCGGCCGCCGAGCAGAAAAGTATAACGGTAGACTTTTGCGAGTCAAGAAGCGGGCAGTAATAATGGGATGAAGGCGGGGGAGGTTTAGCGAAAAGCAAATCGCGATAACGTCATATACACACAATGTGTATGTACACGCAACGAGGTGGATACCAAGAAAATGCAGTATTCGATTACATTGGAAACAGCAATTAATTTGCTAAAAAACAAAGCGGGTAACAACATTCGCTCGGAAGACATGCGATGGGAATGTAAAACTCGACGGAAACGCAGTTCGCCGCGGAAAAAGAAGATAAATTGATTGATTACACTTTTATGAAATAATTAGCAAAGTGAAAATTGCGCGGCGTAGGTTCCATTTATTCTGGGATTCAAAATACATATAATTAACATATTGACATAAAAAAATGAACATTTAAAATTCCACATATCACTTTTTTATTTCAAAAGTGATCCAGAAAATTAGGTTTCCCAGAAAAGGAGAGAAATTATTCATTAATTTTCGACAGAAAAATATTGACAAATCATATTATATCGATAAAAATAACATATACTTAATATATAATCAAATGTCATATTTGCCATTTTCACTTCACAACCAGTTAAATAAACCATCCTTCTTGAATTTTGACAATTTTTTAAATCATTCTTCTTGAATCGTGAAGGTTTTTATGAAATTGAAAACATCAGAAACGAGAAAAATACATAAAGAAAATGTTTACAAAAATCTACATTAAAAAATAAATATTTTTTAATGAAGCAACATTTGTCATCGATAGACTAGATTTGTATTTGTAAAACATATTTTAAACTATATAATTTATTATATTTATTTAATATAATTTATTATATTTATTTAAACTGAATTAATTTATAATATGTCTAACCAAGAAACAAGTTATATAATGTCGAAATGAAATAAATGTAATTTTGTATTAATTTGAAATAAGAGGAGAGTTTCGTTACATTTTACAAGTGTACTCTATCAAATGCAAATATTGATTTATTGAAAAATGTATTTTACAACGATTTTTATTATCTATGTGTTTCTTCGTTTTTGATATCAACCTAAATATCCATAATGAATGATCATAAAAGTTTAAAATTCACTTTCGATGATTGATAAAATAATATTTACTTATACTACTTATTCGTGATAATAATTTCAAAGTTATATTTTTTAATTGTGACATTTTTAAAGTGAAAAAGTGATATAATAAACATTTCAAAGAAAGAAAAACAAAAAAAAGTAAGAAACTTTTGAAAAGTTTCTTATCAATTATAAATCATTTTCATTATATTATATTTTTCTCGTGTCTTTTTTCGTGTCGCATATAAGTATCGCCAAATGAGTGACAAAAGTATCGCTTTAGATCGAAACTTGTGTCACTATTGAGACGACTCTCCCCGCGTCTGTCTCGACCTGGAAGCAAAGGTTCACTGCAGTCGTCGCCGACAATTTGCCCCTGGGTCCAAGTCGAATACTCGACGGAATCGATTGAGGGGGGCAAGCGAGAGGAGTCGCAGGAGAACGATGCCAGTTTCCAGCAGGAATTGCAGTTGAACGAGCTGCGGAAACGGATGGCCGGGATTGCCTCCACGTCCCAGGTGATTGGTAATCTGCGTAAATGTCTTGTTCCGTCTCGTCACGCGCAATAATCGATAATCGTCTAATTACGAATCTATCGTCTAATAATGGGCCCGTCGACTCGTATAAGTCAGCAAAAGAAATATAGAGCTGACAGTGAAAATAATTGTAATATATTTTCGATGCCTTCTATATATTTTTTAAAGCGTATAATATTAAAAATATAATTATTATTACTATCATTATTATTACTAACATTAGCATAATAACTATATAAATGGAGCTCTTAATCATAATTATTTTATTCAATTATAATCATAAATACAAAACACTTTTTCTCACAATCAGTATGAAAGTAATAATTTTAATAAGATTGCGATTATCGTTAACTTTTTTTCTAGGTATTAAACTCGTAATAATCTCAATAGCATTCATAATAATATAATCATTTTACATTTATAACAATCTTAAAAAATTCTCTCTAATCGACATTTGCTCCGAAATTTTCTTTTGCAGGTATTTGCGAGTTCAATAGTAATAGTATTTTAAATTAATGTATACATCTTTATCTAAAATTAACGTAATTAAATGATAAAAATTTGATTTTTTTCATTTTCAATATCAAAAATCGTATGTAACTCAAGAGTATGTAACTCAAAATTATGTAAGATGAAAAATATTTGTTATGAATAATTTTTCAAAGCAATTTTTAAAAATGTCCGGATTCACCGCGAATGTCAACTAGGATTAAATAAAACGTCCTGTGATCTTCTTATTGTAATAGCTAGATTAAAAAAATAGGACAATTTTGAAGCTCGACCGATTGTCCAATCTTCTTATTGTAATAGTTAAGTTAAGTAACGATCAATCAGACGAACGAATTTACGATCGCTTAAAGATTGCCCGATGGCGTCATCCGGAACGGAGCTGTATCGTAGGTGCGCCCATTAATAGCTTCCGGCACAATTGCTCGAAATAGAATACGATGAGAGGAAAAACGCGGCGGATAAACTCTCCATTTATTTCGTTGAATGATTAAACTCTTAGCGCGTTAAGCGCGGTCCTTAAGGCATTCCCGATTCGCATCAAGTTACAATCTCACCGCGTCATTCGCGGTGTTTGCACTAAAACAGGTTTTATTATCTGTTAGATCACGACAAAAACCACTACTAAGGATGGCACAGGACAACAGAATTTGCCGCGACCCAGGATTCAAGTGCAGGAACCCGAAACCGAATGTAACCACCGGAACGTCCACACAGCGTAAGCTTTCACTCTTCTCTCGCTCTTTCTTCTTTCTTCTTTTCCTCTTTTCTGCAACTAAATTCGGCTTGGAAGATTTTATCCCATCAATATAGAATTGCGTCGATTCTCAGAAAAAAAAAGACGAAGCGTGTACATTGATTCCCCGTCATGTACACTAAGCACAATATTCAACATCTACGTGCGTTTCATAAGTTCCAAGGATGAGCGAAAGAAAAGTTTCCGGATGCTGCGAACAGCACGTGTAAAATACGAGGGAGACTTTTTTTTCGATATTCATCCCGCTAACGCAATTCCCTCGCTGCACTCACATTCACTCAACTTCACGACTGCATGTGAACCTTACGTTTGCTGTGATTCTCGCAAATGAAACGAAAGACTTTCTTTTATGCCATGTATATATCACATCCAATAAACAATTATATGTCTCCTGCATTGTAATATTAATCTACATCCTAGCAAAATCATTGCAAGACTTTCATAACTTAAGCACATAAATCGCTAACGTACCGATGATTTTTTGAACATAACATGCATCTACTGGAAAAATCCTGTCTAAAAATTAGAAACATTTTTTATGACTGGAATATATCTGTGTATTGAGACAAGAATTCATATATTATTCACAATTTTTTTTCTTTAATATTTGTCTACAAAAAAATTCACATATAATTATAAAAACATTCTTCGTGTGCAAATAATATGTTTTACATTTTTCATTTAAAGAAAAAAATAAGATTCTCTCTTCTGATATAATAACATTAGAATACGAATGTTAAAAGAAAATGATTATATATATATATATATATATATCATTTTCTTTTTATATTTTCATTCAGAATACTGTCATCCACTTAAATCAGCAGGTTTCATAAAAATTTATGCATATGTGATATATTTATACTTTTTTTCAATAAGAAAAATCATGAGACTAGAATGTTATATTTAAAGAAGAACTATTTCACTCGCAAAGAGAATGTTGTTGTCTTAATTCAGGAAAATATATTGGTCGATTACCACGAAACAACAATGCCGGACTTAAAACACGAATCTTCCTATCCTTTTTAATCTGTTTCAACAGAACAATATTAATCAACAAATCATATGAAGAATCATGCTACTCGTAATATGTACATAGAAAAGTGTAAGAATAGCCATCATAGAAATGATTCAAGTATTTATGAAGACGACATATCATGACTGACCTATAGACTAGACAAAGATGATTATCTTGCATTGGGATTTGAATTAGAATACCTTCCTGCGCATCAGGATCCACAAAATCTATCGTATCTTCTGTTTTCGGCGTGCCTTTGGCATCTTGTGTATGGAACTGTATTATCACATCAAGCAGAAACTCGCCATTCTCACTGATAGAATCATCCTCGTTGTCATTGTCCAGTGTATCACTATGAGATAACATCTCATCTGAAGACGAGGAAGTTTCGTCTACATTCACGCTATGTTCATGTTTATTCGAGCGCATACCAACGTCTGATTGTCTATCATGATACCTGGCTATCTTTCTTTTATCAGATGAATTTGCTGGGGAAGCATCATCGGTTCGTTCCCTTTTCAATTCTCGACGCGTTTTATTTGTATCCAGGTTGACCTCACTGATCGAGAAATCTGAGGTTAATGCTCGCGTTGACTCGTCTGAAGTATCTTTCAATAACGATTTGTCATATAGCAACGTATAACAGCCCGACGACCACCTCTGTAACTCTAATGTCATCTTAGGTCTCTTTGTTTTCTCGGGCACCAAATCGAGTCCTGTATATTTCTTCAACATTTGAAAGAAGGAAATAGATTTAAATAAATCACAGAAATCTCTCAATAGTTTCGGTAAAGTTTGTTCGTCAGCTATTTCATAGTGACGTATATCTGGCGGGCCTATCATCCGCCAGCTGATATCCTGCGACGTTAAATCATTTGCAATTTGTTGATACACAGATTCTTTCAAGAAGCTTTTAAGAAACGTATAAGATGATATCTCGACATCCTCTTGAATTTGGTCCATTATGCTGGGTTCCAGATAATCATTGGAAACCCAGGAGTGTAAGTTCACTTTGGTAGAACTCGGTTCCAGGAAAGTTTTGGCTGGTTCGTGTCTGGGTGACTTACGAAAATCCTTTTTTAATGGACCATGAAACCAACCATTGATTGACCACCTGCACTTATCATGTGCCAATACCTCGGCTACTTGATGGTAAGAATTTTCCACTACTTCGAAGAACACTAGGGAGTTATATTCTGGAATTAATGATTTCACTACCTTCCTAGGTGAGCCTTCTTCGTCCGTATCGAAAAGATCTAAAGCACCACCATCTTCCTCTGACCAATCATCAGTTAGATACAATATATAAGCGATTCTTCTATCAATCATGTTATCATCGTGACATAATAAACGATCTGTATTACGATAACGGGCGCTCGACATCAAGACCTTTCCGTTTAACTCAATGTTTGTATTGCGGCTCATCCATGATATCAGATCTTTCCAAAAAGATCTGTTCAACATTTGGATATACTTGTCAGTAAAGTGGTGCAGATCCTCAGTTTTTTCAAACTGATAGAGATCAAGGACTTTGCGTATATAATCATGACGTTCCAATTCGCTTTTTAAGTTCTCTAGGATCTCGTCTCTTAAGAAGTTTGATATCTTACACACTTTGAAAGGTTTCGATATGATCTCCAGATTGGCGCTCTTAAAATCGCCTTGAGAGTGCCAGTGTTTTTTGAATTCTTCTTGAAATTTAATATCGTATATGTGCTCCGAAAACAACTTCTGATCCGCCATACTCTCAGTTTTTTTATTAAATTTGAAGACAAGCTAGTTTCTGTCAAATCTAACATAAAAATCTTAAATCTACAAATCTTTCTTCCTTAATTACAACTTTTCGACAAGGAAGATACTCATGTTATGCCACTATTAAAATTCTTCTAAACTTGCTTAATTCTTTACAATATAAAGCATGCGGCACCGTTTGACCTAACCTCTTTACGGATTTCAATTCGTCAATCTCGTTAGCAAAGTCTTGTTGGCGTGTCTCCAGAACGATATCAGGATCTCAGGTGTCCGATCGTAGGAGATGTCCTCGTCGAATAGAAGTGTCAATTAATCGTCCTGATAGGTAAAACCCACGTGGTATCCTAATCGTGCCACGTGTGTTCTGTGAACAGCAAGTCAAGACGCTATTAATCGCAACCGTCACTCGAGACGATTATTATGATTAGACAATGATAATTCGGACAATTCTATTGGATTCTACGTACCACAGAAATTGCGGCGAACGTCGGCGTTTCACAGAAACTTTCTTGTACCTCCGTAACATAACATACGCGGCGACAGCAATAATAAAAACAATATCAATCTAGCATAGTAGCGCCTCTAGCGGCCTCGAATAATCATTCATGTACTAATCTTTCGAAAAACATTCCATCGAAGGTTGCTCCAGATGACACGATCTGTACGCCAATATTAGCAAATATTAATACAATTGTATATCTATAATTATCCATATGAATATAGAATAATATTTAGCGAATGCGCATATTGACATACTTTAATCATGAATCTGTTCTTTTTAATTGAACTTCTTGCACAGTTCATCTTTCCTCCTTTTCTCTTCACGTTGGAGACAAAAAAATATTTTGTGAAAGTGCAAAAAATTTAGCTAAAAAGAACAAGCCTCATATCATTTAAAGCCTGTTTTACAATATGCTCTTTGTTTCCTGTTTTTGTTTCTTGATTTTTACCTTTTACTTTTTTTTCCTTTGCAACTGTTTTATTGACAATTATCCCAGATATCTTTTGCAATCCAGAATAGATTAAAATGGATTGAAATTTTTTTCTATCCGAATACATGAATAGTATTCACAATGCATAGAAAAAGCTAATATTATTTTTAGATTGAAAGGTATAGAGATATGCTCCATGCAATTCCTATAAATGAATAAAAATGCATTCAGGATTGAAAAGCATTGATTTTAACATTCGTGAATCAATATTTTAAATAGCGAATACTTTTTTTGGATTTAATTGGATTCAATTAGATTCAATTGGATGCAATTGGATTGAAAAATTGCATTTCCTATTCAAAATTTTGAATTGAACAGTATTCACAATATGTGTATTGTGCACAGAAAAAGTTAATACTATTTTTAGATTGAAAGACATAGAGATTCGATTCAATTGGATTCAATTAAATTGGATCGAAACACTGCATTTCCTATTCAAAATTTTGAATAGTATTCACAATGCATAGAAAAAGCTAATATTATTTTTAGATTGAAAGGTATAGAGATATGCTCCATGCAATTCCTATAAATGAATAAAAATGCATTCAGGATTGAAAAGCATTTATTTTAACATTCATGAATCAATATTTCTGAAAATATAATCTGAATCCATTTCAATTCATTTAAATCCATTCTTGTTTGCTGAGACATACGTCGCAGTCGGTACGTTCGAACTGTTCGAAATTGGCGCTCGCGCTGAGCATCGTTTCGGCGCCGCATTGTCGGGCCGTCGGGTGGCGCTGGCGTCGCCGTGGCAACATGGCGGGCGTGTGTCACATTTGACGGGTACCGTTGCGTGGTCGCGTGGAGAGAAGAGACTCTCGGAGTACGGTCCTGAGACCGTTGTGAATCGGCTCCGAGTGACCGAGTGGTGCGTCGCGACGCGACGGACGCGTGACGTCCGACATCGTCGCGAGGAAATCATCCGGCCAGCCATCCTGGAGCCCGACACCTGGGGGACGCGCTCATATCGTGAGTAAATAATAAAATAAAATTTCGCGCAACATGACAAGTCCCGGCCGCGAATCTATGCGGTCCCACTCCCTCGCCGACGTCTTTCCTCATCCAGACGCGATTCCACCGTTCCCACATCATCGCGGTATACGTGCAAGTTGCCTGTGTTTGTTGCGTCGCCAACGCTGAAGCTGAGGGTGGGGTTCTTCCGAAGTCGCGGGTAAACACGCATCCCCAGGACACGCAAGACCTTCGCAGGACCGGGAATCTGCCAGTGTCCTTTCGTTTGTGCCGTGAACAGGTGTTCGCAGTTGGTTATATCGTTAACATTCCGCGCCGGTCTCCACAGACGACATTTTCGAGAACCTTCTAGGTATCGAAATCCTTATCTATAGATTTCGGAGCTGGACGACTGCGCCTATTCAGGCTGCTTTCCTTTTAGGAGACACAGTCGACGTTCTATCCTTCTTAGCATTCAATGAATAATGATTCATTCATTCAATATAAAGCCAGAATGATACTTGTGTCTCTTAAAAGGAAAACAGCCGCAAGTATTCCAGTGATAAAGATAAAAAATCCAAAGGACAAAGGTCGGAGTATCTTTTCTATCCTAAATTCGGAATCGTCTTGCTCCAATTTAATCGATATGTGTACGGAAGGTCAATTGTGTATCTTAAAAGCAGATGAAAATTACAAAAGTAAGCAAATTCATTAGGGATCAATGATTGATCAATGAATTAAATCATAGAGGCATTCTGGGAGACGCTGTTAGCGCTACTAATAAATAATGAAGACAGAATGATACAAATAACGCTAATACGTCTTCTCGAACCCCCGCACTATCCCTATAAATACCCCTATAAATATTCTAGTAAATTTATAATTTTTTTGGTCAACATCTAGTGAAGTCTTTGCTTACTTTGGGATTTTCACCTGAGATCTATTCTTTCTTCCTGCACTAAATTATAGAACTCTCTTTTTCGCTTTTGCCAAATCAAACGTGTACTTTATTTTAAGTGTATACACAAATTTGATCACAGAAAAGACCTAAGTTTCAGACCTGGTTACAAGACAGCAACTCTCTGTTTACATGGTGCTTGCTATTCTTTTTTATTTAGCACAATGCGAGTGTCAATCTCGATATACTTGATGTGGCTGGTGGAACCAGAATGATAGCATGAAAAGATATTACACTTTCTAATATATATAATGAATTAATATTGTTGGATTTATAGATATATTACTTGTTGCAACGTTGTGCCTTCACGTTTTCGTCAGAACATCCTATACATTCGTCGCGTCATTTAACGTCATAACCGAATACGAGTCATCGATCGATGACTCGTCATTCCTACACGAGGGATTTGAACATTCATCTTTAAGAGCAAGGGAGAAAGGGGCGAGAGAGATCTCATGTTAATTCAATTCTATAGATCTCGGCTTGGAGATTATCTCGAGTCGGCCTTGAGTCGATACTTTCCTCGCATCCTACGACAAGAACGGGCCTTCGAAACTTTTGAAACGACTGTGTCAGCATTCGTACGCGGAGGCGAATCGTGAAGTTTATATACATCGAATCATTCGAGTCGTAGCTTGTACGACTATTATTGATTAACGAGTGCAGTCACGTGTGCCGACGCGACGCCGTTTTTCTTATAGCCCACTTCAATATTGTAAGCTGATGCTTATACCTCGGCGTGTCGAGCTATCTCGAAGCACAGATCCGTGCGAATTATTTCCGGCGGAGATCTCGATTATCAATAACGTTCAGCCGTGAATCACGTGTGAACCTTCCACGAGCTAAACTGATTTCACTTTCTGTAAATTTCTTATTTTAGAGAGTTAATATTCTTATTTTAATACTACACTATTGGCAAATTTGTCATGAATTTAACATTTCACATTTAAAGTATTTAAAAATTTAACTAGATCAATCAGATAAATCTGAAAATAATTTGATTAAACCGTCAAAATAATTATTCAAACTAGTTGCTCGAATGTCAAAATTTTGTACATACAGTTGGAAAATTTCTATTAAATTTAACACATTTTACAGTCCACTCATATTTTTGCATTAATTTGATACAAGACGAATATGTTAGAAACACAAACATGTAAAAATTAACACAAAAGTAATTTTGATACAAATTGTGGAAGCACATTTGTTTAGTAAAATTAACATTTATAATATATGTTTTAAAACTACATTGTTTTTATTTTATTTTTTTATTTATTCATAAATTATGTTATTTTAATACTAAGAAATATTAATATCAATTTAACGTAAAATATTCAAATAATATAATCATATTGTGTTAAATTATTTCGGGTATGTTAAGAATTCAACACAAAACATTTTTAACAAAGACCAATTTTAACGCAAACATAACATTTTTTTACTATATAAAGATTACCTTATAATGTTATCAATTTTCTTTGTTTTGTTGTTTCGTGGACTCGATTAGTTTCACCTTTGAAAAGATTCGTATATATCCCGGTTGTTCTAATTTCGAAGGAATAGTTACTTTTCTAGCACCTCGTATAAATTTTAACGTCAACGATCTTTTACTCCAAGCGCGAGATAAAGTCACGCAAGAGTCGGCAGCGTATAAGTAAAGCACTTTAGAACGATTGATAGATTGCATGGGAAAAGAATGCGCTCTCGATAGGGTGGGATCGTGTACTAATCGTTGCACCTCCCGCGATGAGATGGGTCATTATCCTTTCTTCTCTGCATCGCTCACTAATAGGATATCTCCGGAGTGTCGGGTGTCGGGTTTAACGACTGCGCCACTTCAGTCGCTAAACTGTCAATCGCGTCATTAAGGTTGTAAAGTTGAGATTCGACGTATGTCGATTAATATGTCCATGTACGCATAAACCGTTACGTGCATCTTGTGCTTGAAAAAAAAAACGGATGACACACCGAGACAAGTAATCCATTTATTTAGTTTTTACGCGTTGAAGATCAAATTAATCGATTTTCAATAAAAATTGAGGCTAAATGAAAAATCACCTTTGTCCTAATTTAAAAAAAGTAAAATCATGATTTTTTTTTTCAAAATGTAGAATTACAGCTAAAAAATTACAAATTTTTTTCTCAGAATTTAGAAATACATTTAATTTGTAAAGAGAGATAAAGAGAGGAGCCAATTAACATCGTTGTTTATTTAAGCTTAATAATAGATTAAACTTTGTATCGCAATCGTAAAAACGATCGACTTCGAATTCGTAAAACTATATTTTCCGATTCTTTTCGTAAAGTACTACCCTATATTTTTCGCTCGCACCTGCTGGCAGCGAGGTCGTGAAATCACTCAGAGACTGTGAGAGAGTTTGATCAATGACGTACGAGCTTTAATAAAGCAATAACGGTAATGTTTAAGAGTCCGGGGCTCGCACACGTCGCTCACTACATAACACGTTAAACATCGCACGGATTTCAATGAATTTTACAAAAAATCTATCAATGAAAATTTAAAGATTGTGCATTCAACACAACAAATGACAAATTTTGACTACAAAATTACAAACTCTTGAGAGCTTGTACGATTCTTTTTTTTTTTATTTTTTTATTTATTTATTTTTTTTTTATTATAG